GCAGCATATGACTTGGAAATGCATTCATCAAATGGACTTTGGCTCCCGTCAGTTCTCTACCACCAGCCCTAAGTATCACTAGTCCCATATTCACCAGCACTCATGAATTTCACCAATCACAGATTGGAGACACTCAGGAAAAAAATGTTTTACCTATACTGTTTTGAACACAGACTTTTTCCTGTCAAACAACTATTTACATATCATTTACATTGTATCAGAATTTTGTTTTAGTTTTGGTTTTGTTGTTTTGTAGTACTGAGGATAGACCCATAGGCGCTCTACTAATGATCTACCTGACCCTTTTTATTTTCCTGAGAGAGGGTTCTCACTAAGTTGCTCAGCTGGGACCCAAACTAGTGATCTTTGTCTCTCACTAAGTCCTACCAGTGCTGGGATAACAGGCAGAAATTATCACACATAGCCCACTGTATTAGTTATTACAAGTAATCTAGAGATAACAAAGTATATGGGAAGATATACATAGGTTATATATAAATAGTCAACATTCATATGACTTAAACATTTGAAAATTCTGGTATCCTAGAGCTAGGGAGTGGGCAGGTGATCCTGGACACAATCCACCAGGGATACAGCAAGAGAAAATTGTATAATGTTCTAAAGTCATTATCCTAATTATCAAACCTGTAAGCCCATTTCTGGTCCTTATTATACATACCTTCAGAACACACAACATTATTTATTATTTTCCCCCAATATTCTCTACTGCCAGGGCTTCCATGATATCATATTATCTTGATTCTCTTACAACACCTCTGACCATGTCTATTCAGTTTCCTGGCGGTTACAGCTTACCTCTTGAATAATGATTTTTCTCTGGGTTCAACTTAGGTATTACCTCTTTTTACTCTATACATTTCTTAAACAGTGTCATTCTTTTCTTCATATCTGCAATCCATTAGCTATTGATTTTTTGCCAAATTAAGTCTCTGTTATGGTTTGAGTCTGGATGCCCCCTAAAGCCTCATATGGTTATGGAGGCAGGCTTCTAGAGCTTGTGAATGACTCACGGTCCGATGCTGGGATTATGGGTGTAAGTGCAACACACAAGTAGGTGTGGCCTACATACAATATAAGAGTCAGAAAGAGTCTTCTCTCCAGGCTTCTCCCCGTTTACTCTGTTTTCCATCACCATGAACTGTTGCCCTCTGCCAAGTGCCACTTTGCCTTGGAGCCAGCTGATTATGGACTGAAACCTCCACAAACTGTGACGTAAATAAACCTCTCCTTCTTTCATTTTGGGCGTCAGGTACTTTGTCTCGGCAACGAGAAAAAAGTAACCAAGACAGTCTCTAATCTTTACCTGTCTTTACTACCTAACCCATATATTTAAAACACCTAAATGATATTTCTACCTTAATTACAGTCATCTTTAACATGTTGAAAACTACAGCCAGCATTTCCTTCCCTCACCTAAATTCATGTCTTCTCCTAAATTCCCTAATTATATTTATAGCATCATTACCAACCCAGTTACTCAGGCTCTATAAAATTTGTTACCCTCAAATATTCTTCCTACTTTACCTCCTCACATGTATTTATCACTAAAATTTGCTAATTTGAGCTTTTAAATTTCTCTAACAACAATATCTCCTTTCCATTTCCACTGTAAATGCTCCTGCATTTTTCAAACATTGGCTTTCCAATTAGCATAGGGCTACATATCAAGTTCAAAACCAGCCTACACTACATAGCAAGACTGTCTAAAAAAACCAAGACCAAAAAAAAAAAAGGAACTTCCATTTTTCAACAGGGCTATCTACAGAGACAAGACTAAGTTTTATAGCTTAATACACAGCTTTTGATAATTTGATCCCAATCCATTAAGCATCAAAGCCTACTTCAATTCCCACCTGCACTATACTTCTCTCCATTCCCATAACAAGACATTCACACACATATTTTTAACAATCTCCTTTTACTGTCCTTTCCACACTGCAAACACTTACTCATCCTATAAAAGTTGGTTTAAACATCACCTCTCATGAAAGTCTTTTCTTTCTCTCAGCAAAGTGGGTCCACATTCTTCCTTTATCATTACTTATTTCAAAATCGTTTCCATTAATTAGAAATAGGTTTGGTTTTTTGGTTTTGGTTTTGCTTTTATTTCCTAACTGAGACAGAGGTCTGGTTATGTTCCCCAGACTGGTCTTCAACTTCCTGGGCTCAAACTATCCTCCCACCTTAGATTTCCTAGTAGCTGGGACTTTAAGGATCCATCTCTGTTCAAAAAAAAAAGTACAACATAAATGTATACAATTATTAGTCAATGAAGAAAACAAGTTTTCAAATAAAAGATTAACTCTCATTCTAATGAGGATATAAAATGGTATAGTCAATTTGGAAATAGTCTGGTAATTTTACATAAAGTAAAACATATAATTACATGACCCAGCAATTCTTTTTTCTAAGTATTTACCCAAAAGAAATGGAAATAGATAAATATATGAATGCTGAAAAAATAAAAAGGATAAATAGAAATAAACCTTTGTAAATAAGGGAAGAAGTGTGAAAGGAAGAGAGTGAAATGGGAGAAGAAAGAACTAAGATATACATGTAAAGGTACAATTCTTTATGATGAATATGACATTATGCTTATCTAAATTATACCATAAACGTGGTTTTAAAGAAAACTTTTGAACACTGAAAGATCAGAATGTAAACATTCAGAACAACTTTATTCATAATATCCAAAAACTGTAAACTCAAATATCTACCAACTGATGAACAGATATACAAATTGCATCAAACTCAACAATAAAAACAATTGTGGCTGAAAAGTGTAGTTCAGTAGTAGAGAACACTCTTAGCCTAAGTGAAGTCCTAGGTTCAATCTCCAGCACCAAAAAGAAAAAATAAAAGTTGGAAACAGGGAACATCTGCCAATATAAACAATGTAAATAAATCTCATGTGATGCTAAATGGAAAAAATCAAACATAAAAAGCTATGATTTAGTCAGGCATGGTGGCACAGACCTATAATTCCAGCATTCAGGAGGAAGCTAAGGCAACTGGACCACCACAAACTGAAAGTCAGCCTGGACTACACAGTGAGTTCAAGGTCAGCCTGAACTACACAGCCAGATCCTGTCTCAAAAAGAACCAAAAGATTTTTGAAGAAAAAGATACTCAAATAGTTTCTAAGTGTGTCTTATAAAATAATTAATTTTACTGTTGAAAAACCTAGTAGACAGTGATTATATATCAAATAATCAGACTGAAAATCATTAATAAGTGAAATTGTGCATCACCAGACAGAATGTGGTGATCATCTCTTCTCTAACATGTTAGTCCAAGTGCAAAACCTGTATGCATGGACCCAAGGGAAAAGAGGCACTCCAAATTGAAGGGCTTTCTATAAAATAAGAACTGTAATCGCCAAAACTGTCAAGTTCATGAAAGTCAAGAGAAGATGAAGGAACTGTTCCAGATTAAAGGAGACTAAGACATGACAAATGTAACACACATTCTGAATTGCATCACTTTGCCAATGAATAGATTAACAGCACATGAATAAAACTTGAGCTACATGGAAGACATCTGAGTGAATTTCCTATTTCAATGATTGTACTGTGATTATGCAGAACCACCTTGTTTGGAAAATGCAAACTAAAACATACTGAGGTGACGGTATCAGGTCAGCAGCTTCCTATCAAATTGTTCCGATAATGTGAATTCTTTTACCATACTTGAAACTTTCAAGTTTGTGATTGTTTAAAAGTAGGGGGAAAGCAATGTCACTAAAAATGAAACAAGTTAAAAACAAAACTGATTTACTATGCTTAATCTTGGAAGGAACGAGACACGGGACTATGCAAAATTACCAAAAAATAATACAAAATTTTGGAGCCAGAAGCCACTTTGATACTGCTCTTAACAACTGACCTCAATCACACATGACTGTTAAGAGACTGAAAGGCTATTAAAGTCTCTCACTAAAGAAGAGAAGTTCTTTGAAATCACAGCAGAGGCAGAGGCCCAAGAGGAGGCAGAACAATGGTATTCTGACACTACTGATGTCCATAAACATTAGCAAAACACAATCTCAGCATCTCCTCTGAAAAATGAAGGCACCACAAAGCTGAATAAAATTCCTTGCAAGTTTGAGATTAGAACTGCCCTGAAATAAAAGGCTTCCAGGGCTCTATGTGTTACTACATTATGCTTAGCTTGTAGTGACACAAAGGAATGCAAACACAAAAACGCACATGCATGTACCCTGAATTCGCTTAAGTGGAAGTCCATTACTTAAAGTAATGCATTCTGCAAATTTCTTGTCAAGGAAATTTAGGACGAATGAAGGGAGCAATCAAAACGCTCATGGAAGTGAAAGGAAGATGATCCTAGGCGGTCAATAGGTTGATTTACTTTTAAAAGATGGTCATTTTGTCCTGAAAATGACAGTCACGTTTGTCCTAAAAGAACAGAGCTCATTTCCTAGAAATGTTTAAAAGCGCAAGGATCCTTTCCTCTCCCCCGTAGCACGCCCATTTGGTGGGGCGGTCGCCAGGCCCCCAGGGCACAGGGATGAGGTAGCACCCGAGTCTCGGCACTTCCTTTTGGAAAGGACAGCCCCCTGCGTCATTCGCTACACACTCGGGATGCAGAGCAGAAGTTAATTCCGGGGAACTTAGCACAGTTGGCTACCACCCTCCTAGCCTTGCGGTTCTGGGCCCAATTCCGTCGGCACCAGGGCGCTGACCGGCTCCCGGACGCCTCCGGCGAAGGTCGCGGCTAAACCCGCAACTAAACCCGCGCCCAGCAGACGCGGCCTCCAGTCCCCGACCGGCTCCGTCGCACGGATCCCTCACGCCCACCGCGACGTTTGGCCCAGCCGCGAAGGCCCGCTATCCGCCACCACCGGGCCGGGCCCTCCGCGCCTCTCCGCCTCCCGGCCGCGACGCCCGGCCCAGCGGAGCCCACTGGACAGCAGCCGGGGGCGGGCAGGCTCGGGGGCGGCGCCCGCCCCACACCCTTACCTGGCTTCTCGTGGTCGTAACCTACCACAATGAAATAGTCGGCCAGCCGGGCCATGGTCGCCGCCCCCGCGCCCGGGAAGCGGGCCCCCGTCGCCGCCCTCGCCGCCGCCGCCCACCCAGCCCGAGAGGACTCAGCATTTTCCCTGAAGCGGCCGTAGCGGCAGCGGCGGCGCTTCAGCCATGTTTGACAACCGGGGCGCGCTGTGCGCCTGCGCGGCGCCTAGCGCCCGCTCCTCCCCCACCCCCACCCGCGCCGGCCTGGCGGCCCAGAGCTATGGCGAGCCCACCCCCACCCAGAGCTGGCCGTGCGCGCGCGCGGGCAGGCGGACGCTGGGAGTGCGTGGCTGGGCGTGTTCCCGCCACCCGCCGCCACGAAGCCACTAAAGGTGGTTCATGAGGCCCCCAGTCTGTGGCTTCGCGGTTCTTTTGGCTATGTGTTTTTCCCCCTTAAAGCAGGGAGACACGGGACTTGCAGTCCCTTGCCTGCATCTTTTATTTTTTATCTTTGGGTTTGAGAGCAAGGACTTGGAAGGATCGCTTGGAAAGTGCTCTTTCCGCTGCTTACTGCCACCACCGCGACCAGAGATGAGATTCTCCCGCCCTCGGCTGGAAGCAAGGAATTTGCACTGCCAGGGCTTTTGCTGCACGTTTCCTGTTTATGTGGAGATGGGAATTTTAGAAACATGCCACCAAGCAGGCGGGGGAGGAGAGGCCTTTGCGCAATCCCCAAGAGGCGCCTCGGATTTCAAGGCTGCTTGGGTCGGGGGCGGTCAGCCTGGGCTTCCCCCGAGCGCCCGGGAATGCTGGATTCCTGCGCGCACGCGGCATCCCGGGGATCCTCCTGGACCGGGCTGGCTTGTCCCCGGGGAGCCCCGCCCGCCTCGCTGGCTTTCCAAACAGCGGTCCCGGGGCTCCGGCAGCCAAGCAGGTGGTGACTTCTGAGTTCCTTGCACACACACGAGATGAAATGAATCTAGCTCTCATCATTCAGTCTAAAGAATATCCAGATCGCTTGCTTCTTTGTTACATCTCTTATTGTTCATTTTGAATTTAGCTTGTGTGACACTGAAGTTTTGAGAATCGCTGTGGTTTGGGAATCACCTTCGTGTTTGCGCATCCTTAATCACTATTAACTGAGGGGTTGAACCTTAACGTTTATATATGTGTTCTTAGCAAAATGTAGCATATAGTAGTAGCTTAGATATTTTTAGTGACTACTCACTTTCCCCTGCTACAAGCCGGAAACTGCACTGATTGAAACTCTTAAACTGAAAGTCCAGTGGGTTGGCCTCTCTGTCGCTGTAAAGAACCTAGTTCCCCTTTCTATGCCACTTTCTTCACCAGATTGAGAGGGTTCCTCTGCGGTGGAGGAAAGGAAACTGAATGAATACAGTGCTTTAGGATACCATTTGTAAATTGTTAACAGGCAAACTGAATCAGTTTAATTCCAGAGGTAGGGAAAAGATAAATTGATCCTGAAAATAAACAACAACGGAAAACAAACCTCACGTCATACCCATATAGAAATCTTACCCCGTGTAGAAATCCTCTTCATAACTTCTCTGGGTGCTTATTAGCATTTCGATCACCTTCAGTAAAGAAAATCTAACCTCCTTGCAAGGTAGCCAGGTAACCATTTCATGGTTTTTTAGTTGTTTTGTTTTGTTGAACTAGGTCTCACTATGTAGCCCAGGCTGGCCTTGAACTCCCAGTGATCCTCTTGCCTTAGCCTCCCAAATGCTAAGATTACATGCTCACCACCAGGCTCCTTTCACTGTTAGGATTTAACAACCCTGTTGTTCTTCTTTGTTAGACTATCCTATTTGTCCTACTATTAACTTCCCCTGATGCTGCTCTCTGAAACTACTCCCTCAAAAATCCATTTTCATACGATATTCTTTAAAATTATTAAGGCAATTATGTCCCTTCCTGATTTTTTCTTTTTTTTTTTTTTGTTGGAGTAAAATGTTCACATTATAAAATGAAGTACTGTATGCCATTCAATGGCATTTACTACTTTTGCACAACTACTATGTATACCTAGTTACAAAACATTTTCATCACCCAAAAGAAAACTTCATGCCTATTAAATAGTCATTCCCATTTATCCATCCTTCAGCCCTGACAATCAACTTGCTGTCGTTACTGTAATAATTTATTACGGGTATTCCATATATATTTGACAATCACTTTTTGTGTCTTGAGTTTTTGTCGTTTAGCGTGTGTGTGTGTGTGTGTGTTTGAAAAAGAGTCTTTTGAGGTTGCTAAATTAACAAGGCTGGCCTCAAGCTTGAGATCCTCCTGTCTCAGCCTCCCAGAATGCTGAGATTACAAGGCATGAACCATCATGACCAGCTAGGATATTGTTTTCAAATTGTATCCATATTGTAGCATTAGTACTACTTAGAAAAGTACACAAAACTACCAGTAGTTCATTTCTCTTTTTTTTGCTGAATAGTATTCCCCGTATAAATCATATTTTATGTCACCACTGATAGACACTTGGGGATTTTTTTCCCACCTTTTTGCATTGTGAACAGTGCTACTATGCATACACACATATTTGTTTGAGTATCTATTCTCAGTTCTTTGTGGGATATCCTTAGGAGTAGGGTTACTGGATCATATGGTAAATCTATGTTTAGCTTTGAGGAACCACCAAACTATTTTCCACACTGGCTGAAACATTTTACAACCTCAATAGCAATGCACAATGATCTTATTTCTCTACATCTCTATTAATACTTGTTTTCCTGTTATTTTTGTTTCATTGTAGCCATCTTAGATATGCAGTAATGTCTTATTGTGGTCTTTATTTGTACATTATCTAATAACTAGTAATATTGAGCATCTGTTCATATACATACCAGTTTTCTTGGGGGGGGGTTGTTTTTTTGGTGCTCACGACCCAAGTTTGCCAAGCAGGCACTTATGGAACTGAGCCAAGCCCCCAGCCCCTTATACTAATTATTTTTAAATCTCCTTTGGAAAAATATCTAATCAAGGCCTGTGAATTTTTTTTTCACTTTTGTCATACTAGGGATTAACCCTGAGCTATTCTGCAAGCTAACAAAATGCTCTACCACTGAGTTATACCCCCAGCACTGTCCATTTTTTTTATTGACTCTCTTTCTCTGTGCTGCAAATTGATTGAAACCAGGGCTTCCTATGTTCCACTACTGAGCTGCGTTCTCAGTTTTATTTGACTTTTTGTTGTCCACTGAGTACTAGATCTCCATCAAATATAAACTTCACAGATATTTCTTTAGATTGTCATTTCATTTTCTCAATAATATCCTTTGATTCACTGTAGTTTTTTTATGAAGTCCAATGTTTTAAATTTTTTTCTGTGATTTTGATGCCATATCTAAGACTGTTGCCAAATTTAAGATCATGAAGATTTTTTTCTATATTTTCTTCTAAGTGTTGCATAGTTTTAGCTTTTGTATTTAAGCCTTTGATCCATTTTGAGTCAATTTTGTGGTGATAAGCTTCCCAATTTTTTTTTTTAACTTGGTGGTGCTAAGGAATGAATTCAGACCTGCTAAATCAGTTTATTTCATGGCCGGGACACAATACATAACAGTCACAACTTAAAGGAGAGGTTCACATTTACAGGTCTATAGTCAGCTGGTTCCAAACCAGTGACATGGCAGAAGGGCCTGGACAAAGGAAAGCTATTCACATCACATTTTCCAGAAAGCAGAGAGCAAAAGGAGGAAAACGAAGTCCATCTTTCCAGGTGTCACCCCACTCACATTCCTCCTCCAGCCAGGACCTGCCTCCTAACATCTTGATAGCTATAGCACCCAGTAGTCCGATCACCTTGCAAAAAAAACCTGCCTCTGCATGAGGCTTGGGGGCAACATCTAGCTATAAATCATGACTCAAGGACCTTTGCCCTAGCTCTTTTTTATTTTTTAGTTTGAATGAAGGTCTCACCTAGTCACTGCCATACTTTAAATCTAAACTATCCCCACAAAGTCCCATGTGTTTGGAAGGTGACTGGATCATGGGGCACTGAACTTACCAGTGGATTCATCAACTCACAATCTCAGTAGCTGAAAGTGCTCTTAGGAAGACAAGTCACTGGCAGTGTGACCTGGGAAGCTATGCTCTTGTCCTTGGCCCCTCTTCTCTCTCTGCTTCCTGTCTGCCATGAGTTGAACACCTTTCCTCTGCCGTCCTTTTATTATGTTGTCTCTTGGAGCCAGTCAACCACATACTTTGGTCCCTAAAAACCATGAGCCAAAAATAAACCTCTCCTCCTTTACACTGTGGCTACAGAATATACATCCAGTGACAGAAAAGTAACCAAGACAATCACTAAATTGCCCAAGCTGGACATGAATTTGGAATCCTCCAGTCATAGCATCCCAGAGTTCTGGGATTACAGGCAAACCATCACACTAAGTATATTTTACTTTTTTTTTTTTTTTTTTGTGACAGGGTCTTGCTATGTAGTTCAGGCTAACTTTACTCAGGCTCAGGATGGCCTCCAAATCACAGTGATCCTCCTGCCTCAGCCTGGGATTATAGGTGTGCACTACCGTGCCCAGCCCATTTTACTTTTTAAATGTATTGGTTTTAATTTTATTTGCATGTGTTGGTTTAATTTGTGTGTGTGTGTAGACACAGTGGGAACTGAACCCAGGATCTAGCTCAAACTACACAGGTAATCCACCACTGAGCTACATCCAGAGCCTTTTGAGCCCTTCTATACATTCTTATTCGAGACAAGGTCTTGCTAATTTGCCCAAGCTGGATTTGAATTTGCTATCTTCCTGATTCTGCCTCCTGACTAGCCAAGATTATAGGTATTTACTACTATAGTCTGCACAAGTATTCTATTTGAAAAATCAGTGTGTAGCTATTTTCAAGCCTAGCATCTAAGGCTATATGCACTATTTCATTTTTTAAGGTCTTAGACTGCCAGCCATTTGCAAATAGATGTTTAAGGCATAGGGATTTTCACCTGTCTCAGGTTTATATTTAAAGGTACTGTATTTGTATATACACATGAACATATTTAGCATACACTGAAGCTGCACTTTTCTCTTCAGCCAGTAGCTGCCAGGCTGCTGAAACTGATAGATCCTGATAAGTAAAGCAGCCTGATTCCTGAGGCTGGCAGAAGGTCAAGCCATACCCAAGATAACCACCGTTATCTTTTATCAAAAGAGTGAGGAAATCAAGCA